CCCTAGGCGGTGTGGTGGTGGTAGAGGAGGTCGCGTGTGCCGAGTTTCCTCTTCTCTTCTGTGGGCATCCGCTGCTGGCTGCTTTGTGACGGTGGGATGATAATAACTCCGTTGCTGCAAGGCATGAGAGGGGTGTATCTGTGGCGTAAGCCCCCCCCCCTCCCCTTCCTCACCCAGAAAATATTCTACAAAAATAAACTGGAATGTGACTAAAGATATGCATGATAAATGCAACAGATTTGTCACTCTCGGTCACTCTAGTTTTTCATTCCAGTGTCCAACCAGTTTTGCAGAGCACTCGGCCGCAGTATCGGTTTCCTCGTCTCGTTCTCGTTGAACGCCCCCCGGGGCGGATACCCCCGCACCACCTGTGATCGTAGACCTCCTGGCCGCCGGCCCAGTTGGCCTGGCACCTCCGGGCCGGTCCAGGCTCAGCCCGCGCGCGCGCTCTCCACTGCTCCGCAGCCGGCTGTTTGGACAGGCTCCAAATTGGTACTGTTTTGCGGCTCGCCTCACACGCGCGCGGTGGGGACCCTTTCCTCCCGCAGGCCACAACGCAACAAGGAAAAAGAAAAAGGTAGTAAAGCCAATGTCGTAGCCATCTTATCACAAGGATGTGACGTAAAAAAAGGGGGGAAAGGGGACCGAGTTTTCATTCAAAAGCAATTTATCTCTAAAACTTACAACTCTTTTTTGTGGTTGGCATGGACGGGAAAAAATGCCCTTTTTCATTTTGGCTGAACTGTACACATGTTTGTCTTATCACAACAACAGAAACCGCACATAACGGTAATCGTACACAGCTTGCAAAAACTAAAGGGACTAGTAAAGTGTGCCATTATTCGGTTCCATTACTGCTCGAGACTTGTAAGATTCAACCTCGGATCGTACGCAAATCTCCGATGCACAGGAACTACCTGTTGGTGAATCACATGCAAACACGAGCATTATTTTAATAGCGCGCGCATACCACGCAACTCGCAAAAACTCGCAGCATATAATCATAAATTTTATGCGTATCGCTTGTTAGCCATCGAGTAGATTATCGGCCCCTCCCCAAACAAAAGGAGAGGGGAAGGAGAAGGGAGAGGATGAGGACGAGGGAGGGGAGGGGGGAGAAGGCCTCACCCGCGAGGTCCATAACCCAGCCGAGGTGATGAAAGGCAAACAAACGGCCGCTCATTCCTCCCTCCCTCCCTCCCTCCGACACTCATCAATCAACTCATCCCTCCCCTTCTCTCTCTCTCTCTCTCTCTCTCTCTCTCTCTCTCTCTCTCTCTCTCACTCTCTCGCTCTTTCTCTCTCTTATCTCTGATGCTGTCTCGAGTAAACACACTGCGCCCTGCGCAGCTGCGCTTCGCCGCGCTTCTACTCCGTTGATGATGCCATGTGAACGTGTGATGTCTCGGAGAGAGAGCGTAGCGAGTGCACTGTCAACAAAACGTTCGTTTTGCGATGAAGGAAATCGCTTGTAAGCTGCCAAAGCGTGTGGCGTGGCAGAGCTTAATAGTACAAAGCATCTTTGCTCTGCAGCTCACGAACAAATTTTGTTCGTGTTGGCGGAGAATGTTCGTAATCTTGCCAACAACTTTGTTGTAAATTACGAACAAGTCCTTTCGCAGAAAATATACGTGTACTTAGTGCACGAAAGAAAAAGTGTATAGGCGGGTGTTCACACTACTTCTCTGTGTGCACTTTACAGTTTCGCCTTCATAAGCTCGGAGGCACTTACCGTTCGCCGGCCCGAAACTCTCTACAACCGCTTAGCCGCGCAGCCTATTAGTCGATATGTAGCGCCGCGGCAGGTTCGGAGAGGGAGAGAGAGAGAGAGAGCGAGAAGCGGAAAGCGCTCGCCGCTGGCCGACTACAACTTTCTGTCCTGCTGAACTGCGCGGCAGTAAAGCCTCGTCCGCCGCAATGACCCCGGGCAAAACTAGTACGTTCCGCG